ATATTTAAATTATTTCCATGCACGTTTACTTCAACTAAAACGTATACCAAATTCCTACAAACATAAATTCACAAATAACTATCATTTCATTTAAAATATAATTAAATTCAAAACACTACGTTAAAATATAAATGAGCACATACATTAAATTAATAAAATTACCTTACAGTCCTAATTACTTTAAACTAAATCATTGCTAATAACAATTTTCCCAATAATACCAAATTCCTTTCCACCTTACATTTAGAACAATGCATAAAAATATTATCCTCAAATAATTAAAAATACTAACTTACCTAATCTTCTTCAGAATCTTGATTACGTGGCGGATACACTTTTCTAATTCATTCATAAAATTATTGAAAGATTTTTTTCTGCGAATTTTTCCTCCATACTTCCTCCGCTAAATAAAAAGCAAACTTCTCTTTATCACAATGCCTAAATACCCATTTCGAATTCACTTTAGTTAGGGCCATGGGATCCAAAAATTAAACAACACTGTTTCACACAACACAGAATAAAGCTAAATACAAAATTTCCACATTTTTTCCCGATTTCCTCCCTTTTCCGATTAAAGAACCGTAATTCGTCCATTAATATCACATGACATATCCCATGATCTCTCATTTCCCTCACGCAAAATAATGCGTAATCGGAACTGAGTACTGCTCACATTATTACCCCAGGTAGTCCCAGGTAGTAACCTTTATCGCCTCCAAAATGTCGCCAAACTACCAGTTACCATATTGTAAAGATCAACCCAACTTAGCGTAGAAATACAGCAATTTGGCTTAGATCCAAAAACTGAATTAGTTAAAGCAGTAATGTAAGATTACTTGCGGGGTATTAGATGCTGCATTAAGAGCAAATTTCTGAGAATGAATGTTCCAGTGACAAAGCACCTTAAGGAAGAATTCCAAGATTCCAGTGGTTATGCTCTTGATATTTCCCGTCGAAGCTATGCGTAACGACTCTGAACTAAAACGTTTTAACATTAACAAAGGGGGGGATATGAGAACTTTGTTGGGACACTTAACAGAATCTGAAGAGCACAATATTTTACAGCATGGAAAAAAAAAATGTATAATGCGAATTGCTCGGCACTTTGCATTATTCAGATGTAATGTAATTAGAAATCCCTAATTTGCTCTCAGCACCAGCTCCCGAGTAGTTAAACCCGGTAAACTTTGGTAGTTTGGCTCGACTTCCAATCCAGGTAAATGGGGTAGCTGCGTGAGGTTGGTTTTAGTGGTTTTTCCCATGTTTTAAACGTGAGTGCTCTTTCACTAATCATATAATAGAAGTTTTGATTATATATGATAAAAATGTACGAAATTCTGCTACATTCTATAATTCGCATTATATAAATAAATGTTATCAACTTAGGAAATCCTGTTTTCTACCACCAACTGTCGAATGGTTATAGACGCTAAGTATTGATAGTTTGACTCTCTCCAGTTCAGGAAAATGAGGTTACTGCATGGTTGATTATCGTGGCTTTCTCAATATGTAACATGAATGAGAGTCAATTTCCAATCAAATGTGCTTCCCGAAGGTTTGCCTTCACTTTCGAAATGTGCTTTATCATATGAGTATAACCTAACTTAATTTATTTTACAAACTGTGTCAATTTTAGTGCATTATTTTTGCATCCATTTTCGATTAGCAAAATTAATTTAATCTAATAAACTTAATGTAAGTGTTGTAGTGAAATTGAGCAAATGTTAATATATTTACTACTTGATAAAAATGATACTTTTCCAAACAAATTGTATGCAATACAGTTTTTCTATGTCATATGCAGAAAATACAAAGTAAAATGATATCAACAGATATTATATCATAAGAAAACAAATTCTTATCATAGTTGTTATTCATTCAAATAAAGGAATAAAAGAGGCAGAAAATATGGTTGGAGATTTAGGAATTCATTGTTTTAGACTATTTTCTCAACACTGTGTTTATTCGACTCCAATAATTTGCGAAGAATATGTTAAACTTGCATATTTGCAACAATTTGTGTCTCTTAAACAAGAAACAACTCAACAAAGAGTTAGATTTCTCTTATATGAGATTTTCTTGCGAATTTCTTGCTTTGAGATTTTCTTGCGAATTTCTTGTTTTGAGACTTTCGTGCGATTTTATACGTATTTGAAAAACGTGTTAAGTTTTGATTATATTGCGAATTACCATCTTAAGATGCGTTTGAATATGCATTCGTCACACCCATTTACCATCATGTGTTTTCTAGGGAGTGTATTTCTTGCCATACCTTTGGGTACTGCGAAGAGTGTCTCTGGTAAGTTTTCATTCTGGAATAATTTCATGAAATTTATTTGCTCTGCAACATCATTTTCTACCCTTGACACATTTAAAGAGTAAAGTGAAGATCAGTTTATGGGCTTAATTTTGTTGTTTGTGCTCACATATTTTGAAAATTATTTTTTTTATAAAATTGAATGCATATTTTGCAACGTAGGTTTCCAACGTACTTTTTATGTATTAAAATTTATTAATAGGAAGAGAATCCAAACTTGACTATGACTGGAGGGAACGATTCAAAACAAACGCTATGAAATTTAATGTTTTACCTCAATCTATAAAATTAATTCTGCCGGTATGTTTCTTGAGAATATTTGCTGTAATGCTATCATTGGATGTCTGAGATAATACGTTGAATGAAATAAAGAGTAATAAATATTTTTTTATTTAAAATATGCTTATTTGCTGTATGAAATAAATGTAATGTTATCTAATAATAATTTATAGATCTTAAAAAGAAATGATTAGCTATTTTAAATGAGCGTCGCTGGTTTTTCATAAGCTCTAAATACTGTGATCATGAATGTCAAGATTTGAAAAAGTATTCAATGAACATCGTCTCACATTTAATTAAATTTACCAACGTATTACCGTATTCCTCTTTCGTCGTCAAATGAGCATAAAATCGTTTTGTTAAATTTAATTTATTTAAAATAAATTTCAAAGAATTTATGAACTCTTTATTTTTACACGCTATAAATTTACATATTAATTCGATAAATATAATTATTTACTAAATGTATTTATATCATAGTTTTGTTTTCTTAGTGATTATTCTCAATCATGAATTATTTCTATATAAATGTAAATTTCTGTATAATGTGATTATGCTTGTATAAATATTTCTCAGGGAAAACTATTAAACTGCATGTTTCACGAACAGCAATGGAATCGTTTTCAGCCGAAATTAAAATGCAGGAAAATTAGGCAAAACAGCAGTCTTATTTTGTCATAGATTATCAATGAAACTTTAAGGATATTTTATGTAATATATACCCCCAAAATATAGCTGCTGTTTTAAGTATCATGTTGACGTGTTCCTCTTGATGTTTGAAAATGCATTGTTCAAACTAAAACTAATTGATTTAGCGTAGAGTAGACTTTACGGTACCTCTTGTATTATGGCGACGTTGTTGTTTGATTTATCGCCAAGTTGTTGTTTCATTACCTGAGTAGTTGACCTATTGTGACGTAATCGGGTGTATGATTCTGGGAAATTTTGAATCATGGGATGTTTTGTAAGCGTTTTTGTGGTGTGTGTTGGTTTGATTCTTTAGACATTCAACTACTCAGGCTACCATTAATGAAACAATTTGACAATAAATGGAACAACAACTTGGCGATAAACCAAGGGCCACCCTATATATAGAATAACCAAGTATTTTTTAATGTGCGTACTGAGATATGCAATACTAAAAAAATTGTTTCCAAAAAAATGCCCGATTGTGTCAAATCTACATCTTTCCCATGATATGTTAAAACTGAATATAACACTCACCTCCGCAAAGTCCAAAATATTCAATCCTTGCTTCTATACATTCAAATCAAAGTAGCTCGTGACATGACGGAATAAAACTCTGTGATATTACCGAATTTGGGGGATTTCAAATTTCCACTTATGGTGTCCGAAATTTTTGCGAATATCCTTGAACATTGCTTGCCACATCGGCGTGTTCCTCTTGATGTTTGAAATACATTGTTCATACTAAAACTAATTTAAAGTAACTAAAACTATATATTATAATTTTAGTTTGGGCGAATAATAACAGAAATTCAATACATATAACGTGAAAGTATATGCTTTCATATTATGCCTTTTTTTATCTGCAATAGATTTGAGTACTTTCGTAGTATTGCAACCACCTTGGCGCAACTCAGCTACTTTTTGAAGAAGTAAGTGAATTGTAATTTCAAATCAGAGAAATTTATTTCATTATCATACATAATATTATGTACATATTTTTATCTCAGTTCGATAATTATTACGGAAAAACAATTTATAAAACAACTTACAAATATTATCTTCCACGTGTATTTATTCCTGTGTACCACAGACTTATCGCCATTTCTAAGTTTTCGAAGCAAAATTTAGCATTCGTTAATTCTTTTCTTCTGCCGTATATAAATCTGATGCTGTAGTAAAATGGCAGGCGACTGTTTTCGAACCAGTTACGCATTCGACTGCCGATGTGTTCGCTAGACATTTTGACGTTACTTTTAAAAACTTTTTTCCAAAATACATCATCATCATCAAATGCGATCTGGAACATTCCAGCCTCTGTGGCAAATCATAATATCCTTGCAAACATTTCGCAGAACGTTCTTCGTTTGCAGGAAATCTCACAAGCGCATATTTCAGAATACAGCTGAAGGCCAAAACATATTCCAATTTGCCTTTAGACCTTTAAATATAACTCAAACAGCAGGTAGAAAAATGGCAACGTTGCTTAATCAAACTTACAGTTATCAATAACGTTAACTGAAGAATTGATATGCGCATTGTTCCCAGAGTTTGCCTACTTCTGAAAATTTGGCGACTTCTGTCAAGGTGGTTGCGATAGTGTTAAAATATAATGCATCTAAAACAATAAATTGTGTACATATATACATATATATATATATAAAACATTAAAGTAAAGTAATTTTCCATGTACGTATTGAGATTTGAAATAGTAAAAATGGTTTTGAAATTAATGGCAGATTGTGCCAGATCTACTTCTTTTACAGGTATGATTTCGTTTATTTAATTATAGCAAAGCACTCGAGGGTTACCTCCGTAAGGGAAGGGATACTTTCGCGGAAGACTTTCTAAGGGCAAATGGCTCGAATATATGGCTTGTGACATCACCGAATAAAACAATGTGATATTACAAATTTTGTGGAATTTTGAATTTTTGCTTAAAATGTCTAAATTTATTGCGAATATTAATAAATCGTAAACAATGTTTGCCAAAAATTGCATATAGGATGTATTCAAAGTCTCAGTCTGATAACGTGCACATCAAAACTAAATCATTCCGAGTAACAGATAAAAAAGCAAACCAGTGCTCGCACTATGTGAACTTAATGCAATATTTATCGCATGATTAAATACAGCTCCAAGCATTCAGAAGCTACCTGTTGGGTTAAAGAAGTGAGTACCTGAGTTGCACATTACATTCAGAGAATAGCAGAGGACACTCTTAGGGAATCTGAATTGCGCTTCAAAAACGTGGGATTATCGTACTCATTTGCAAACCATTCCTTCATTTGATTTTAAAAAAATGGGTGAATTGTGTTTTCACAAAGTACCCTCTGGATAAAAAAAATGCTGGGTGAGTTCAGTATATCCCCTTTTTTTGCACCGATTGGCGAAATTTAAATTGCATTTTCCACGTCTCGAAAGCGCAACTTGAGATGTATATTATATTTATATATAGCAGTGGTCTCACTTAGGTACTTTGACAGAAAATAGGAATTTTACTGAAATGACATACCGATTTTTTTTTCATATTTATATTCTAAGATTTAATTTTCTAAAACGCCAAGTTTTGCAGAAATCTCAAGAGTACTTACTAAAATTATCTTTCAAAATTTTAGATCTTCAATATCACTTAAATTTGATATATATTGCTATGCTTTTTTAATTATCTCTTTTTAAATTAAAATTTCAGGCGCACTCCAAATAAGTTCATAGATATTTTTTGATTCCTTTAAAGGTTTGTATTTTTCAGTAGTTTTTATCAATCTTTTGAAAACATTTTTGAACTATGAACCATAACATTTTTATCATCACCTTAAATTAGATGAACTCCTAGGCATAACCGAAAAAATCATTAAAGTTTTTTATTCAAAATTCCCAGGATATACGCGAATTTATGTGATAGCACCTTTAGATATTTGCTGTTATAAGCGATGATTTATGCCAAATGTGGTTTACACGCTTTGTTAATATTATTCGGAAGAATGAACGAGGGGCTTTTTTTTCCATTCGTGCGTAATGAAAGGGAAAGGGAAAGTAAAATAGGTTACCATTAAATTAGAAATTCGGCCAAAATGTATACTAAATTATACCTGGAGCAAACTGAAATACTCACTCCAAAATAAATTTTTAACCTACTCGCTAAGTTTCTCATCGAATGTTACAAAATTTAATTTTAATGGATAATTTGAATTGTAGAATCGAAATATGGAAAAAATTCGACATGTCATTCCAGGAAAAGTCCGAATATCCCACTATCTCTATAAATCTAATATATATCCTAAGTCGCGCTTTTAAGACTTGAAAACTTTTAATTAAATTTCATCAATCGGAGTAGAAGGGAGATATAAAGCTGTTCATTATTTTTTTTCCTGTGCAGAGTGTCTATAGTATTTTAATAGAGTTGACATATAGCTGTTAGCAAACATAACCAAAAGATCAGGATCAACAATTATAACTTGAAGGTTTTTGGATCCGACATTCTTGCAAGGCTGAACATTGAACAGTTACAGCCGAAAACATCACGGCCGAAAACATCACGGACGAAAGCGTCGCGGAGATGGAACGCAAACCGAAAACGTAGTGGTAAAAAAACATCGTGGGAGAAAAGAAAGAAAAAGCATCGTAGTTCTGAACCATCGTCGTACAAAATATCGTCTTCGACAATAAAGCGGTTCAAAAACTTCACAGGTTAAAAACATCGTTGTCGAAAATATTGCGATAAAAAATAAAGCACCTACAAATCATCGCATGACGATAACATTGCAGACATGCGTTTTTGAGGTTTGAAAATTTTTAAATGCATATTAATATAAAGTGCAAGGTATATTAACGACACTTTACGAATAAGCGGAAACAAAACAAGGTATAATTTTCACCAAAATAATAACAGACCAGCAAACGTGAAATAAAGTAATTTGATAATTAACTAAGCAATTTTTATACAGGTAACCACTTGCATTTATTTATCTTCCTACTAGTAAACATTTTAGGCTGTATTCTTCTAGAAAAATAATGAGTAAATCTTTATGAAAGAGGATTTATTTATTAATGGCCCTTCTGAATTAACTGTATCAATATAAAATTCTATTAAGTTCCACATGCATTAATTTTCTACTCATTTTCAATTTTTAATGCTTAAGTTTTCTTCTCAATTTTTAAGCAAAAAATTATTAATTCATTCAAAAATCTGAGACATAAAAGGGAAAAGTGCATTTACAGAATTTAAAACCTGAAAAATGCATGTGTGCGATGTTATCGCCGTTCGATGATTGGTAGGCACTTTATTTCTTACCACAATATTTACGACGATGATTGATTTTAAACTGCGAAGTTTTTCAACAGCACTATTTTCGATGTCGATATTTCGCACAACGATGTTTTAGAACTGCGATGTTTTCTCTTCGCTTTCTTTTCTTCCATGATCTATTGTACCACGACGTTTTCGCCATGAGTTGTTTCCTACGCAACGATTCGTCCGAGATGTTTTTCCACGATGTTATCGGTCAAGTCCACATCGAACGCATGCATCTCTGTGTAACATGCAAAAAATTAACGACTTCTAGTGACTTAATTCAACCTAAGTGTTTCAGGTTTGCCATTGGCAATTAGTATTTTTTTTTTTTTTTTGCTCAAGATATAATTTAATTAATCAAGATTTTTTGCTCAAGATTTTTTTGCTCACGCGATTTTGATTATAAATTTGTTTTATAAAATTCTAAGCTGCTGAACTACAAAAATATAGATTTTAAGAAAAATTTTATGCTTAAAGAATGAAAAATACCTTACGGTACATTTAAAATTGTATACGTCTTTCGATACCCTTGATAGAGTATTCGCTACTTTTATTTTATTTTCCAAACGCCAAAGTGTTTTAAATAAAACAATTTTTTTTTCACATCCATATATTATTGTTGCATATTATTGCAAAAAGCATGTATCTGCCTTTGACAAAATACATAAATATTCATTAAATTATTTATAAAGAATGAAGAATTTATTCACTTATAAACAACTGTGAAAGTACTGTGAAGAAATCTAATTATTAAATGTATCTAATTTATAATGATTATAAATGTTATCTAAATATATAATAACCTTAATATTGAATTGTAAACATAAATTGAAATCCTGTTGACAAATACGTTATAAAACTATTTAAGCAAAAATTGTTCGTATTGGAAAGCAATCTGTTAAAAGGTATTGTAAAGCAAATGCTATGAGATGCGCACTTAAGAAAGTAATAAAGAGTTTTGGAATATGTATTGTTGAAATGAAGGGTAAAAAAATATCTGATAAGTATAATTAAAAGAATTATTACCCTTTCATTTTATAATAACTCAGTTACAAGTTTTAAATAATACTTTAAAAAAAAAAACTTATTTTATTTCCTTTCAGAAATGTTCAGAGGAAGTCAAGTGCTATTTAAAGTATTACGCTAATTCCTAATAATTCTCTAATTTAAAATGAACCGAATAGAGCATTAATTATAAATTGACTTACATTTTTCGGTTTAAAAGATGCCTCATAAGCCAAAAAATCATGTCATATTTAAGAAAGTATTTTAGGAAGAAGCTCTATAAATAGAAAAGAAATAATGCATAATTTTAATATTAATAATACAATAAACTTTTATCTTAATTTTTGTACCTTAACCGAATAAAAATCGAATTACCTTAATTTTTTTCTAATGTAATTAACGCAAAACTTGTGAAAATATTTCATTCAAATTAAACCATTCTGAAAAAACTGTCCTGTGAAAAGTATAGCATTTAATTCCGTTCAGAATGAAATGTTGTTTAAAATATGTTGTTTTCATATACTTAGGACTCTGAAGTGTTGTAGAAAAAGAAAATATATACATTTATATGTATATTTACGACGTAATTACAAAATATTTACATCCGAACGCGTCAAATCCCATTGAACTCAATGGTAAATGATCCAATGTTTTGGTCACCACGTAGGGATCGCCGGTGCTTCAGAGCAGGTTATGGGAGAAACTTGTTTAGGGCAACTCCATCTTACTTCCTACCTCCATGGTTTCGTCTGAGCTGTTTTTGCCACGATGTTATCGGCAAACCCCACATTCAACTCATGCATCTCTGTGTAACATGCAAAAAATGAACGACTTCTAGTGACTTAATTCAACCTAAGTGTTTCAGGTTTGGCATTGGCTATTAGTAATTTGTTCCAATTTTTAAAGAGGAACTGGGTCACTAAGCCCCTGTATTGATACCAATGCAAATTTCTTAGTTCATCATAATGGCAACATGATGGCATCCTCTGCTGCAAAGAAATCTTTGCATTAAAGTATTTGGCTGCAAGGGAATTATTTGTTTTGAATAAAATTAAATTCTGTATGTTTTTACCGCGATTTTTGTTTTTGCTGAACTTTTTTATTTATTATTTATCTTCAAATCGGCCTATCATTACGAAACTATCCAATATACAAATTTATCTCGGCGTAAAAAATCTTCTGGAAATTCGTAATATTAGCTTGAACCTTGAGCAATTTTATATCGATCTTTTATTACCGTATAAATAAATTATATTACATCAACATTACTTACTTTAGAAACAAGGCTAAATTATTATTTTAAACAAAAAAAAAAAAAAAAATTTAACAGCATTGAGAATACTAAATCGAGACATGTAAATAAATTATATATTTAAAATACACATTTTTGGTTCATAAACCTAATCGAATAATGGCAATGTTTAATTATTAGATGTACTCCCGATGGTGTTAAAAAAACCTTACTATTATTCCTTTAAACAGAAATATGATTAATACTTAATTCTCTTCTTCCAGGTTTTTGTATGCCTTTTTTTGGAAGTTACTAGAAATGTATTACTAATTTTTACTGATATCACATATTTTTATTTTACTACATATTTTACGTAACTGTCATAAGGCATTAAAAAAAAGGCGTATTACAAAGTGGCGTCAAGGAAATTAAAGACTAATTGATATTTTAGAATAAGTGATTTTATTTAAACAATTCTTGATATCTGAATAATATTTACACAATTTAGTTTTATGCATTTAATTTCAGTTTAAAAATACCATTTTATAACATATTCGTACTTTTTTTAATTAACCTTAGGTACGATTAATTGATAAATCGATTACTTCCGGTAAAGGCTTTGTTTATTTAATTATGGCAAATCGAAGGTTTTTCTGTCTAAAAGGGATGTGGAAATCTTTAACCCAGCTCGTATTAACGTTAAACATGCCGAAAACAATGAAAATGGCGATGATGCCAGCCAGTTCACCATGATTTGAACCCTGGACCGAACTACAAGTGTTCAGCGACTTTACCGCTCGGCCGCTGGTGGGCCTCCTCACATTATGAAGTAGTATGAGAGGATGTCTGCAACTTACTAGACTTTATTTTAAAGTGTAGTAAACGCATGCGAACTATCGGACATTGATAGGGGTGAGAAGTATTATGAAAATTGAAGTCCTAAGAATGGGATATATTGTAACCTCTTTAACACATGAAACGAGGAATAACTCGTTTCGAATGATGAAATCCAATATACTTTATAGTTTGCTTCAAAACCACAGACTTGAAACACAAATCAGGCCATTGAATAATCTTTCAATTTTTGCATATCTTTGTATTTAAGGCTCACTATGATATATATCATTGTGATTAGATGCAAGATGTATTTTTGATTTCTACTTTAATCCGTAAATGTACTCAAGTATATATATAATATAGATATATAATATTGTAAATATATTTTAAAACTTTATTTTTGCAGGAATTCCAGATGTGCATTCTGTTGCTGGTTCCCCTCCTATACTAATTTCAGAACCTACCCGAACAATGAAGTCATTCCCAAATTTCCTAACTTCTGAAAAACGCTCAGTATCAGATGCCATAGCTACTAGTATTCCGCATTCAAAGGCACAAATTAAAATCCCAACACAACGCTCAAATTTTTTCCAGAAATTTCCCATCAACGAATACGAAGCTTTCTCAAAAGACCTTCCTAAACTCTTTTTGACGAAAGACTATATTCCTTACAAAGACTTTTTTCATCGTTATACCACTTTTCGAGATTTTAAAAAACATCTTATTCTTATGAAAGCCGAAAGACTCCGACAGTTAAGCCAGAAAATTAAAATAAAAGAAACACGAATAGAGATATTTTATACAGGGTGTATGATGTTTGGAGGTTTTAGCCTATTTTTCATAGTTTTCTTTCGTTGTTTAATTTTAATGATTCTATATTTAAAAAATCTGATGTGTACACCACATGACTTCCTTGTATTGGAATATTAAATTATATGCATTTTTTCTTGCGTTTCATTTAAACTTATTGGACTGAATTAAATCTACTTCGCCGACAGCGCATAAACCACAATAGAATAAATGCATTCTTTAAAACTCACTCTAGTATTTGTTTACCATAGCGACACTCTGGCGCTAGATTCACTTAACAGTATTAATAATTATATAACAGTTAACTTATATAATAATTTTATTACGGAAACTAAGTTAACTGTTATATAATCCAAAAATTATATAACAGTTTACTTATATATTTCGTTCATATTATAACTCATAATGCACAAAATTTATATCATTTAAAGAATAGAATTATCTAATCGTTGCCACATGTTCTATTCAAATACTATAATAAAGCTAGAATGATGTATAAAAGAAATTAAGCAAACAAAACAAAAAAGAAACAGTTTTTCACAGACAATTGAGTATTTCTCATTTAATTAATTCAGTTCTCACTTCGCAAGAAGGCAAAAATACATAAAACCTCAAAATATCTATATTAAAAATTACGAAGTAAATCTTAAACGCTTATTTTCTCGAAAAAATTCCAGAAAGGATTAAGCATGATTTTAATAATAAATGAAGGCGTTATCTTTGTTGTTGCGAAGCTAAGTTTCTCTAAATTGGCAACAAATCCACTAGTCTCCTGTTTCAAATGTAAACATCAATGGCCGCCATTAAAAAAGGCTTAGCGGCAATTAAACAACTTTAAAATTGCTGATAATTCTAAAAGTATTGCACACATATTTACTAAAAATCCTTAACCGGAAGGTAAAAACAACAGAATTCAATCATTTTTAAAGCAAAAAATGTACAATTCCTGTCTTCAGTCCGACAACAGGTATTGCATAAGTCGAGAATTTCCGAAGTCACTTCTGTAGTTTTCAGCAAAATGCTGGAGGTTACAACAGAATTTCATATCGAAACTGTATTTACACGATTAATCGTCTGGATTGCTATATATATTGCTTTCTTTATGTATAGTATTTCTCCATTTTCCCGAAGAATTCTTCTATATTCTCTGACGTAAGTAGAGATGGTAAAATATGAATTAAAATTGCAAAAGTGTTCGCTGACTTGGATGAGTTTCGAGTGGGTTTGTGTTGTCCGATTATATTAAAGCACACAAAGACTTCTGCCTAATGAGGTTTTGCCATCGAGGAGGAATTTCTAGAGCAAACTGGCTCGTATACACGTGACACACGAGGAAAAACACGATCACGCCCGTGCAATCAGCCTGATTGCCGAGATTTGTTTCTCGAACAAACTGTAAATATTCAGCGACTTTCTCGTTCTGCCGCTGGTACACGACTTTTCAAGTGGAAGAGCATTACCATTTTGAGCTGCTACTTAAAGTGCTGCTTGACTTGAAGGCAAAACGTGATAGCAGTGCTGCATATTTAGTCGTCGTATGGATATTTCTTTTAGCCCCTTGCATGTGTTATCATTGTGACTGACGGCGATTGCATTAGCGATATAAGTAGACTATTTTTGTCTTGATTTGACTTTGAACTGACGTTTCCTTAATAAAGGAATATATGGACCAGCTGTCTTCAAAGCATAAACTGCCTTTGAAAATACATCAGCAACGCCTATATTTTCTGTGGAAAATTAAACATATATAATTCCTTAATTATATATTTATAATGAATTGTCTGAGTGCCAGTTTCATATTTAATTTGTAATAGGTATCAGTTTTAATTTATAAATTTCTATGGTATTATGCAGTTTAATGAGTAAGATATTGGGACTGGGTCATTGTTTATCCAAAATATCGGAATTCTGGCTGTATGTTTATTTTCTGGGAAAGTAATTGCCATCTGGTATTGAATCTACTTCTGTATTTCGTTTTCCTTACTGTGTAGACTAAAAGCAAAGCTTGGCTGAATTAAATTATTAAGAAAGACTAGTAATCTGACAGCTTAAACAATTCAGGATAATCTGTATGAATATGCAATATAAAATAAAGATCTTCTTGTTGGTATTCTTTTTTATAATACCCACCTTATTGAAATTTCGACTGGAACCTCGAACTGTGACTGATACTAGCGAGGGTGATTGAAGAAGCAAATGTAAAATGTTGTACAACTTGAATGACTTTGTAGAAAAGAGTAAGAACTTTCATACCATCCGTATTTTTTCATATCAGATACATTTAAAAATGCAGAATTGCCAGTTTCTGGAAAAAGTAAATTTGGATAGGGACAAAGAGACTGTAATATAACCAGTTGATATCAATGATAGTTATTGATATTTATTGCAAAAGGTATCCTTAAACAACTCAACATTAGAATAAAAAATGTGATTATTTCAGCATTTGCAGTGGCATTAGTAAACATGTGCAGGTTAGAACTGCTGGTAAAAATTATGATTCTTTGTCGATGCATTTTACTGCTTTTGTGTGGGTTTCACTTCCTCCAGATTTTACTATGTCAGATATCTTTCTCTACACAAATATTCAAACAGACCTATTTCTTTGTCAGTATTAGAGGCAAGAAATTACGTGCTCCCCTTGTCTGAAGAAATTCTTTATGCAGCCTGTTACTCAAGGCGTATCATCTGGTTGCGTAGCTGTTCGATTTCCTGTAGCTGCAATGAAAGACCTTGCAATATAGACTGGTGTCAGCTGCGTGTATCGTTTAGAATCATCGTCAAATAATTATCCTGAAAGCCGTTTCACACGTTTTCTTTGTTTGAAAGAAATTTACTTTCGTGAATGTTTATTTTATAAGGTTTTATTTTACGCATCCAAAATGAATCGAAGATTTCTAACAGCTGAAGAAGCTTCGCAATATTTTATGACATTAGATGTTGAAGATATTGAGCCAGAAATGATAATAATACCGCCCGATCCAGATGCAGTCAGTGACAATGAAGAGATAGACTATGACTGCACTAAGATTAGACTTGCAACGAAAACGCAGCGGGAACTACAGAAACAGCAGGAACTGTGGAAATTTTAGTAGAAAATGAAGATGAGGAAATATATGTGCCAAAACCTGATTGGAAAGATTGTGTTCCTAAAATTTCCCGTGCTTCAGAATTATTTTCTCAATATTCTAATCAGTCTATAACCGATTTGGTTTCTGGAAAATCTCCTGCAGAACTCTTTGAGTATATCGCTGAAAAAATAATAGACAAAGCTGTTATTGAGAGTAACAGATATGCTGGGCAGAAAAATAATCATAAGTTTTCATTGACAAAACCAGAATTCAAGCAATTCTTAGGTACACTTTTTTATAGTGGCTACCACGTTTTGCCACGTGAAAAAATGTACTGGGAAAATGCGCCAGATACAGGAACTATACTAATTAGTCGAGCAATGCCACGAAGTAGATATTTTGAAATCAAGCGATACATTCAATTCAATGACAATAGCACTATTGATTCGGACCGCTATTACAAAGTACGTCCAATTTATGATTTACTGAATGATGCTTTGCAACAATTAGGTGTATTTTCCGAACATTTAAACATTGATGAAAGAATGCTGCGCTATTTCGGTCGACATGGTTGTGAAATGTATATGAAAGAAAACCAGTAAAATTTGGATACAAACTGTGGATATTAGCTTCTTATGATGGTTATCCCTTCCATATTATTCCGTATCAAGGAGCACAACGAAATGTAAAAGAATCTGGATCTCAAAATGTGTCAGAATAGAAATGTAGTGCATCTGATAGCAAAAAAAATGTGGAAAGAAATGTCAAATGGAAATGAAAAGCGAATAAAAAGTTAGAATAAAAAAAACATCGCAAGCTCAGAAACGGAGACAGCCTCTATCAAATACTGTAGTAGAAGGTTTGCTGGCAATTGTGAAAAATCCAACACAGAATAAAATTTACATGGACAATTTTTTTACATTTTATGTACATTTTGTTAAGTTGAAAGAAACCAATTTTTTTTGCTATTGGAACTGTAAGGAAAACAGAATGGCCAATTGTCCACTAAAATCAATCAAAGTTATGAGGAAGATGGGTCGGGGCACAGTTTATCAGAAATTCGATTCAAATACTGAAATCGCAGCGGTTCGCTGGAACAAAATCAGTGCTTTCAAATTTTGAAGCTACAAGATGTAGGTCAAAAGTAGATAGAACAGTATAGGGTGGAAGACAGAATGTTGCTAGCGGGTAAGCCCGCCAATTGAGCGGACTGCGCTCGCTTTATACACATGCAGAAAATCGGGCAAGCCTGCCAGCTGAGCGGGCTGAAGCCCGCTTTCGTTGGCCTTTATTCGAAAGTCGGATCGAACTACCAACGAAGCCCGCTTTCGTTCGACGGGATTTGAAATTCGGAGCAAACTACCAGTGTTCAGCGATTTTTTCCCGGGCTGCGCCCGCTGTATTCAGATATGCATCCACATTTTCTGGACAGTACGCCGGGATATTTAAAGATGGACCGAACTACTAGTATTCAGCGATTTTACCCGGGCTGCGCCCGCTTTATTGACGTATGCATCCGCGAGATAGTGCCAACACGTTACACATGCGGAAAATCACGAAAACACCCATGCAGTCAGCCCGCTTGGTGGGATTCGGAAATTGTACCGAACTACCAGTTTTCAGCGCTTTATTCACGTATGCATGTAGACGATAGTGCATAAACGATATACATGCGTAAAATCAAGAAAACGCCCATGGAGTCAGCCCGTTCGCCGGGATCGAAAGTTGGACCGAACTACCAGTTTTGCGCCGGCTCCGCCCGCTTTATTCACATATGCATCCAGAAGACACTGCATACACGATACACATGCGGATTTTTATATGTCATTCTGAGAAATAACTTAAGATTGATTTGCAACACTTGATATAAATAAAGGTATTTTTACTAAAGAATTAATATTATTTTCAGACTTTTTACTGTCGCACTAAATGTAGAAGCTGGACAATGTGAATATTTCATCTAGCTTTTTCATTTAATAATTTAATGTATTTTTTCTCCTCCGAAATATTTTAATGACAAATTTATTCATTCATTTACAATGTTTATCAGATAATATCAAATCAATATGTATATCTGGTGTTACCAAAGGTTTTATTATTCTTAGCATTTTTTATATGTACTATAATTTTCTTAGTAAAAGTGTTGTATGCAAACAATTACATACTGGCAATGAAAATTTTGAGATTGTGCCATTGTTGACAAAGAAGATGTTTTTCTTTTCACAAAAAAGCAGCAAATATTTGGTAGAATAATGTTTAATAAACACTTTTTCGCCACAAGTAAAAAAAAATCGCTAAATCTTCTTAGCACTGAGGCATCCAATATGCACATATTTTCGATGAGGCTTATATTCACAGGTATCAACACTGCATAGAATCGACACCAATTCTAGTTTTGAACATATAAGCAACACGATAAAATGAAATTTATATAATGACATAATAATAGGTAAGAGAATTAATGCATATTTGCCCCAGAAATACAACTAATATAGAATATGTTTGAGATAATGAATATGGTTACATCTTTAAATAACTATGCAAAATCGTATTTCTTGCAACTAAAAGGCAGTCCCGGATCTAGTGGGTATATCTGTTTGTATTTGCAGCCCTTAAAGCTAGGTTTAAAACCTCTTTTAAGAATATTTATAATTAATTACTCGAAACCTTTTAATGGAGCAAACAATATTAAAAGTAAGCTAAGTACAGCCGAACACGACTCTAAAGATAAGATCAGAGAGAGGACAATAGAGGGACTCCAGGCGTCATTGAAAAAGTCAAAGTACCCTGTCCCTCTGCCAACCCAATATGTAATTTTATTACAAAGGTACTCCGTAAATGTCTATATGTCTTTGCCTTTGAGTCCGTCTGTTGTCCTCTCTCCTGACGGGAATATTCAAATGAAAAACAGAACGATAGGCGCTTTGATTTTACACCAACGCCACTTGCGAAATAAACGGAGAATCATTGTAAATTGTAACTCTTTCCTAACACCCAATACAAATTAACCTTGAAACAATGAAATAATTCAAATTAATGTACGTCGAGAATATACAACAGAAATGAAAAAGGCATTTCGATTTTTTGCAGCCAGTGAGCAACCTAGGTTTTAAAAATGGGTTTATTATTTTTATAGTTTTTAAAGTTTTTTAGTTTTTTAATTTGGAGGGTTTTTTGTTGTCTCATTTTCTTTTAACATGGCTGTTTCTAGTATTCCTCACTATATTTAGCGAGACGCAACCATTTAGTTAGCGCGCGCGTACGGTACTATTGAATGTAATTACGTCAATTTTTAGCTTTTCTTATTAAGGCAAGTTATACTGTATATTATTTAGGTTGCAAGAAATTATGAGAGGGTCTAGGAAAAACACTCTCAGGGGTAGAATATAGAACCAGTGCAAAAAAATAGGACGTAACAGAGAAAACAAATTGCAGCTAAAATAAAAAATGGATTCACGGGAAAGACGAACCGTCAGACCCTGCCGCAACTTCCGAGGGTGCCGAGATTCTAAACGATGTTGATATTTCTTGCAATTTGCATAACCAAGATGAAGAATTTTCATCTATCATCCTCAGACTTCATTTCAGCAACTGAGAGAACAACTTTCTTCATAGACCTCCAAACGAACATCTAGAGGACATGAAATTAGGATATAAAGTATTTTCTCATTTAGGTGATTGTGGGCAGCAGAAAGAAGACTTAAAATCTTTTGATTTGTCGGACCCAGCTAGTTGGCCAATCACAGAAAAGAGTGAACGATCAGCAACGATCTTTCTTAGCGGTCAAGCTGTATTATTAGCCGAAAAATATCCAGAAAACGTAACCCTTAGGTACACTGAACGCGATGGAAGACATTTGACATCTTCATTGTGGCACAGAACTTTAGCAAATAATGAGAGACTTAAAAGATTTTGACTTATATATTCTAAAATTAAAAGTGCAATTTTCGTACACCCTGTGAAATTTACCAGAAACATGCCACTGCCGTTACATCAGCATTGTGTACTACAGGATTCACTAATTGGAAAAAAAGCTTCAGAAAAGTTAACTGAGAACGAAATATCTGAAATCCGGAGAGAGTGTGTGTATGATTAAGTGTAAAATTCCACTACAACAAACAAATGAAATCGTGTCAAGGCATCGATCATGACATTAAGAGTCTAATTCATACAGAGGAAGAAAAATGGAGAAAGATCCTACAGATGAGTATGGATGCTGTATTGCATCTTTTAACAAACTGTCTTTCGTTCCGTGGGTCTGATGAAACCCCTGGTAGTCTGCTCACAAAGTGCCCTCGGACTAGTCAAGGCAAGGTTTTGAATTTAATGACTCGGCTAGCCAAACGTAATTCTTAAGTACCAGTTAGAATACCTAGAGAAGGGACAAGTATTATATGTAACAAAGTTAATTTAAAATGAAATTACTGATGTAATGGCAAAAACAGTTCTCAATAGCATTTTAAATCATATTAAAGAAGCCAAATATTATATAATAATATTCGATTGCATTCCAGATATGTCGCATACAGAACAAATGAGCCAGGTGATTCAATACGTAAAAAATATGTGGTGATGTGTGTGAAATAAAGGAGAGCTTTATTGATTTCATAGAAATTGGTGGAAAGACAGCAGAATGTATTTCTCAACAGATTGTGGAAAAACTGACACTTGATGGTTTGAATATGGACAATGTCGTGGTCAATCTGAGGATAACGGATCTAATATGGCCGGTACTTACCTGGAGTAAACCAGCCGTATTAGTTCCTGGAGTTAGCCAGGATTACAGAAATGAATAAGCTGGCCGAATGTGTGCGATGTTTGGCTCACTCTTTGAATCTTGTCTGTGTGCATTCTGCCTTGTCTTACTCCGAAGCAGTTAACTTCGTTGGAATTATTCAGAAAATATTTAGCTTTTTTGTCGTATTCACTATTTGATGCGATATTAAGAAACGATGTGCAAAAACCAATTCAAAAGGAAGCAGCCAGACGAGATGGTCGGCAAAATATGTGGCTGTGAAAGCCCTTCTAACGAATTTACCAGAAGTAACAAAATCCTTGAAAGAAATTAATTATCTTTCAAAGTACTATATTATTATTTCAAAATTAATTATCTATCAAAGTACGAAGCAGGACATCTGCTACATGTTGTAAAAAATGTTGAATTTATTATCAGCCTGACAATTTGGGCTAATATTCTTCGAGAAATCAATCGAATAAATACTGAAATTCAAATGGAGGATATTATTCTTATTCGTTTCGTCGCATTAATGGAAGGTCTGACCAAAACTTTGCAAAAAAAGGAGAGAAATTCCTACGGATATTGGATAGAAGAATTTAAAGCAGCAGCCGAAACAAAATTGAGGTTGAACCTATTCTGACAAATAAACGAATTCTAAAACGCAAAAAGGAATTTGATGAATTATGCGAGAATGAATCAAGAATATTTCATCGTGTTCAGCTACTTTCTAATGCAATGAAAATTGTATTTGATCGAACGAATCAGAAATTAAAATGAGAGTAAACAGCGCTATTACACTAAATTCAAATTTCCATTTCCCAATGATTGTGAAATATTGAATATGTCAACTGAAGAACTACAAAA